AAATTTTCTTATATATTTTACATGTATGAATATCTGTAGTATATTTGATGCAGATAAAAATATGCAATTTGTAGAGATATCGAATACATATATTTTAAATAAATAATGCTAGCTATGTACATACATATTTTAAAAAGTTTCTTACATGTGTATATATTACCTCTATGAATGTTATATGTTTACTCTGTACAGTAGTGGTATATATGCCCGTATAATATATATCATAGATGTGGCTGTATATTTACACCGTATATTTATATATTTAAGTTTATAGAAATGTTTTTTTACTACATATACATTTATATGTGTGTGAATCTTAGATAGGAAATAGAATATATGACAAAATATCAAATGTATAAAGTGGTCATATCTGAGAAGCGGGATTGTGGAAAATTTTTATATTTTTGTGTTTTTTTGCATTTTCTAAATATTCTATGAATATAAGATCACTTTGCAATCACAGAAACACCGTCAAAAGGAAAAAGAGAGGAGATTTCTTCTTGCATATTGTGCAGGTCCTCAGGACAAATCTTTCCCTGCTCTAACGGGTGAGGATTCCTGGTTCCCGTGATCATGAGTCTCTGTTTTCATCTGAGATTGCAGCCTGCATTCCCTGAGCATAGAGGCTGCTGGGTTGGCTGGGTCCTAGGATTACTCTCTTTCTTCCTTCCTTTTCCCTGAAATGTAGATGCTCATTCATGTGATACAGTCACAGAGTATCTCCAGACTCCCTCAAATGGTCCTGCTACTGTGTTCACTGATGTTAACATGGTTTTAGCATATCCATGTTTTACTCCCCTCAGTCTTTCATGGCAGACCATGGGGAAAAAAGCAGTAACATTAGTTAAGCACAAGTTCCAGACTGGTATTCTTATGTATATGAGAATTGGGGAAGCCTGTTACAACACAGATTGCTGAGCTCAGCCGTTCATACATTCTGATTTAGTAGATCTATCTGGGGTCCAAGGAACTGTATTTCCAAAAAGCCTTCAGACAATGCTGATGTTGTTGGTCCCTGGACCACTTTGAGATGCAAAGTCTAATGGTTTTCAAAGCAGGAGACCCACACCCAGCATCAGCAGCACCAACGAATTTGTTAGAATCATAGACTTTCACATTCTATCGTAGAGGTGTTGCATTTATACCACATAACAAGTGGATGTTTGTACCCAAGTTGGTGACAGAAAAACCTGCATTTTAATAAGATTCTCAGGATGTTCACGGGTGCATAGAAGATGGAGAAGCACCAGAACAGACACTAAGAAAGCAGGTATGTCCAAAAGAACTAAGAGTCTCACTGATATGAAAGAGCCTGGCTTCCCCCACCCTAGACTACCTGGCCAAAGTCACCATGCCCCAAGTCTGAGAATCAGCAGCAGGGAGAAAGGATTCATTTCTCAGGAGTGAAGAAGAAGTTGCTAGGACTGAGGCATAAAATCAGAGTTCCAGTGTATTAATTTGTAATGAAAAACAACAGGTGAGAGATGTGCAACAGCTGGAGGAGTCTGCCCGGGAAGAAGGCAGCAGTGAAAATCCAATCAGACTTGGCAGGTGACCGGGTGAGCAGAAAGCAGATGCCCTGCCCACCAGGAGCCAAAGGCAGGATTCTGGGGGTCAGAGGCTCCAGCAGTGAGAACCTCCCACATAAAACAAAAACATATCACAGGCCAGTCCAGGGCAGCTTCTTTTTTGTGCTCTGTCCATATGGGAACAGGTAGTCTTCATGGGCTGCCTGCCTCTGTTATTCTTGTTTCCGCTTCCAATTATAATGTTCTCTTTTCTTTTTCTTTTTTTGGAGACAGGGTCTCACTCTGTGGCCCAGGAGGGAGTGCAGCTCATTGCAGCTTCTACTTCCTGGACTCAAGTGACCCTCCCATCCCAGCCTTCAGAGTATTTGGGATGACAGGCATGCACCACCACACCTGGCTACTTTTTAAATTTTTTGTAGAGATGAGATCTTGCTATATTGCTCAGGCTGGTCTTGAACTCCTGGCCTCAAACAATTCTCCTGCTTTGATCTCCCAAAGTGCTGGGTTATGTTCTTTGGAGAGGTGACTACTTCAGTTAGGTCATTCATTATGACTTGTTTTAAAAGATGATGTATATTTCTGCTCTGACTCTTTGCTCATTCCAAAGTTTGACTGAGTGGGCAATCCCCTTTCTTTTATTTCAAAGTTCTCCGGGTTTATCATAGAGCAGGCTTCACACAATGCTCACAGACTCCTCAGTGATATTTTATTCAGGCTTTTCTTTTTCATATTCAAAACAGATCTATAGGATATGCATGATTATCCCCATATTTCCAATAGGAATTTGAGACCAAAGGAGTTGTTGTGGGCTGAATTGTCTTCTAAACTGATATGCTGATGATATATACCTAACCCCTGATTCCTTTGAATTATTTGGAAAGAGGGTCTTTGCAGAGGTAATGAAGTTAAAACGAGGTTATAAGGATGGGTCCTAATCTGTTATGCCTGATGTTTTTATAAGAGGAAAATGCCACATGAAGAAAGAGACACACAACAACAATGCTTGCAAAGACAGAGGCAGAGACTGGAGTGATGCAGTCACAAGCCAAGGAATGCCAAAGACTGATTGATGGCCACCCTCGGGAGCTAGAAGAGGCAAGGAAGGATTCTGCCCAGAATCTGAGAGGGAGTCTGACCCTGCTGGCACCTTGATTTTGGCCTTCTAACCTCCGGAACTATGAGAGAAACAAACCTCTGTTGTTATTAGCCACCCAGTATATGGTACTTTGTTATAGCAACTCTAGGAAACTAATACAGAGGATTATTAAAAAACTGGGTCTAAGGTTGCCTATCCAAGTTGGTGATGGAGAAAAGAAGTGAGAGGCAGACTGTGGCTGTGACTTCCAGGTGTTCCCTGTCTTCCTTGAACGGCCATGGTGCTCTGTGCTTCCTAAAGGTTCAGTGAGTGTGTGATAGGACAGAATGGCAAAGAACAATCCAGTCTTATGGGGCCTAAAGCTGGTAAAATTTGGGGTCCTTCTATATTATGGCTAAATATACATAACAAAATTTACCATTTCACCCGTTCTTAAGTGTACAATTCAGTGACATAAGTATACCTCAGAATGTTGCACAACTATCACCTCTATTTCCAAAACCTTTTTCATCACCCCAAGTAGAAACTCTGTCACTCATAAGCAATAACTTTCCATTCCTCACGCCTCCCATCCCCTGGTAACCTCTAACCTACTTTCTGTTTCTATGAATATGCCTATTCTAGGTCTTTCATGAGTGAAAGCATGTAATGTTTGTCCTTTTGTATCCAGCTAACTTGGCATAACGTCTTCATAGTTCATCCATGTTGCGTGATGTATTTCATTCCTTTTAAAGGCTGAATAACATCCCATTGTATGTATGTACCCCATACCAGCTATCAGATTATCCATCGGTGGGTACTTGGGTTATTTCCACCTTTTAACTATTGTGAATAATGCTCCTATGAACACTGATGAGTGGGTATTTGTTGGAGCCTCTGTTTTTAACTTTTTAGGGTATATATCTAGGAGGGGAATTGTTGGATCATATAGTGATTCTATGTTTAACTTTTTAGGACACCAAGGAACTGTTTTGGACAGTAGCTGAACCATTTTACATTTGAAGGGTGCTTTTCAAGTTAAGAATTTTAAAATATCTCACCTTTACAAATACTGTAAAAATGAATTCTGCTATCTTTAGATGTGGTGGTGTCTGCCCTCTTATTCACAAGATGGCTGCCTCACCACTATGTGAATATATTGTTGAGGCTCTTCCTCAGAACCTGTGCCAGTGAGGGGCCTTAGAGCTTAAGCTTCAGGAGCCTCATGATAAATCCATCTCAGTGGATTTATATCTAAGAACAACTGCTTGCCGTTTGCTGAAAAGTCACTAAAGCTCTGATCTTACAAATAAGGTGGAAAAGGTAAAAGTTATATTAGTGCTTCTGGGGAACAACATTCCAACTGGGCTTTTACATTTCAGCCTATCATCCTGTAATATTTGGGTTAACGTCTTCATTTACAGGCTTTTACTCAGGACCACCTTAGATCCAGTCAGGAGGGGCCCTGCTCTAAGCCATCTGCTTTAGAAGGCCTCATTTCTACCATGTTCCAAAGTTCAAGCTTTTTGTCTAGACTATTCTTTAGGTCCCCAGGGCTCTGAAATTTCTGTCTAAAGGGCCATGTGCCTCCTCCCCAGTCCATCCTTTCTTCCAAAGCTGTGTATACCTTGGTGTTCAAGAGGTAACTGAAGGTGGCTGTTGGAGGTGTGGGAGAATTGAATGAAACTTGAACTTGCAGGCTACGGTGTCTGCATATGTTCTGTCAATGCACATTACAGTTAGGGCAGAGTTGGGGAATGGAAATAGAAGAGGGCCAAGCCATGGGTCAGGGACTGAATAGAATCTCCTTACACTGCCATGTTCCAGTATGATGCTTTAAAATGAGTCCAAACATTCAAAGTTGCAATTTGACTTTTCAGGTTGTTATGATGATATACTATTTTCCAAGGCATGAGGACAGAACACAATTAATTTAGTAGTTTGTAGCTTAATTTGTAACTTTTAAACACTTAATATATGGTATGTAGGTCACTGACCTGGGTCTTGCAATTGTTAGGAATGGTTCTTCTCTTTGCCCCTCTTCCCCAATTTGCTAAATAGAAACTGGTCCATTCAAATACCTGAAGAAACATGTATTGAGCTTATCAAGAGAGTTATTACTTACTTGAGAATCCTGTTGTTAGGCAGGCAGTCTCAGGGTTGGTTGCACAACTTAAGAAAGCATCAAAAACTTGGCACATTTTTTCTTTCTCATCTGTCACCTTCAGAATGAAAGATGTCTGTCCTCATGTTGCCAATATGGCTGCCTCAGTGCCAAACATCACATTGTCATGTGACAGTCCCCAGAGCAAAAAGCAAAGGGACATCAAGAAATCTTTCCTGTCGTGTGGCGGCGGTGGTGTCGGCAGCGGCTGCGGCGAGGAGAGTTTGGCACCATGTCTCACACCATTTTGCTGGTGCTGCCCACCAAGAGACTGGAAGGCAGGACCTACGCCGACTATGAGTCTGTGAACGAGTGTATGGAAGGCGTTTGTAAAATGTATGAAGAACATCTGAAGAGGATGAATCCTAACAGCCCTTCGATCACATATGACATCAGTCAGATGTTTGATTTCATTGATGATTGGGCAGACCTCAGCTGCCTGGTTTACCGAGCTGATACCCAGACATACCAACAGTGTAACAGACTGGATTGAAGAGAAGATCTAGCCAGGCTCGGTGGCTCAGCCTGTAATCCCGCGCCTTTGGGAGGCTGAGGTGAGTGGATTGCCTGAGCCTGCGGGTTCGAGACCCGCCTGGGCGGTGAGACCTCATCTCTACAATAAATCAAAAAATCAGCCGGGCATGGTAGCGCATGCCTGTAGTTCCAGCTACTCGGAAGGCTGAGGCAGAAGGATCGCCGGAGGCCAGCAGGTCGAGGCTGCAGTGGCTGGGAGCGGCCACTGCACTCCAGTCTGGGCAACAGAGTAAGACTCCAGCTCAAAAAAAAAATAAAAAAATAAAGAGAAGATCTACGTGCTCCTTCGCCAGCAGGCCAGGAAGTAATCGAGTGGGAAGCATTGGGAATGGGGTGGGCGTGGAACATGAGTGTGTGCAGCGAGCTATAGTGGGAGTTTAGTATTATAGGAATCCTGTTTCCATACATTCTAGCCAGGATGGAGTGTAGTCCATAAATATGAGGATCTTGTTCAATCTGAAACCCCCACTGCCTCCCTTTTTTTTCTTTTCATTTTTTACTTAAACATTTTTATGATGATTTAGATGAAAGTTGTTCCTTGTCATTTAATGTTGGCTGCAATCCTTCCAGCTGTTGATGTCTCCTTTACAACATGCACTGTATTAACCCTTCTTCGAGATGGGGTGGAGGTGGTGATGCAGTTTAGCTATGTCCTCAAAATAAAGTCTCAGTGAAAAGTAAATAAATATTCTTTGGTTGAAAAAAAAAAGAGAAAGAAAGAAATCTTTCCTTTCCTAGTATCTACTCTTCTGTGCGGGAAATCTTACCCAAATGCCCCAGCAGAATTCTCCTTCCATCATATTGGCCAGAACTAGTTGCATTATCTACTTCTAGTCAAATCACAGGCAGAATGGGTTCTTTGATGAGCTGGGAACCATTTAGGATTTGTCTCTTGGGGAGGGTACAAGTTGCCTAGGGGAAAAAAAAAAAAGAAAAGAAAAAAGAAATATCAGGTTACTCTTAGCAAAAAGAAAAGGAGAACTTGCTTTAGGCTGAGAAGCCATAGCAACAGACAGAGAGAGCAGTTACTTTCCTTAGAACTGTAAAGGAGGATTAGTAATTAGGAAGTACAGAAGGAAAAGGGATTTGTCACAGGATAGAAAAAGCAGCCGCAGCTAAGCTTGTAATAAGCAGATTGTGGAAGAAAATGTCCAAATGAACTTCTATGGGCCTTCATTACAAATGCTGAATGATTAATGCCATTGCATTTCATTAAATTTATAAGTTGTATTTGTTACACAACACATCACTAATAAATAACGGCTGATGGATAGATATTGCTGCTCTCCATCAATATTTTCATGATGTCTTTTCACCAGAATTAACTGTTGCCAGGATAAAAATCAACCCTAAACCCTTCATTGCTCATGAAGCAAAATGACTTAATCAGCTCATCCTAGCAATGAAAGGAATCTGTAGCCACCATTGAAAGCTCTGACAAAGTGTTCAACGCCTGACATTCCAAGGAGAAGCATCTGGGTTTGATTTCTCTTTGCCTTACCTGGAAATGAATACAGATCTATTGTAGGAAAAGTGCACAGATGTCAACGAGGTACCATATATCTGAAGCCTGCTCAAACACTTGCCTGACCCCAAGGTATATCTTATGCTGACCTATTGCTTATCTGCCACTCAAAGTTTACATCTGGATAGTAACAGGGTTACGGTGTCCTTTTTCTATGCACAGAAAAATGCGTTTATATAGACCATAAATATTTTGACCACATATTAACAAATGACCTGGAGGTCAGTGTTAAGTCTCAGTAGCTACATGTCTACATGGTTCTGATAGTGGCATTTCCAGTTAGGTAGGTGCTGTAGTCCAATAATAGAAGTGATATCTACCTTTGGAAGTGACATGGTAGGGTACCATGATGTGGAAATGACCTATACACGATAGAACATTCACCGTGTGTTGCTAGGACTTTCTCTCAGCATGGGGGCTAGGTTCCAAGAGCCCGCATCCCCCTGGCCCAGTTTCTTCGGGCCTGAGCCCAAGAATTGGCACACCACCACTTCTGCTGTATTCTATTTGTCAAGCGGTCAGAGAGCCCAGATTCAAAAGGCTGGAGCATGCACTCCACCTCTTGATGGGAGGAGTATCAGAGAATTTGGGGGCCATGTCTTAAAACTGCCACATCAGTCTGAATGTCATCTCAGAGAGCTTTGTCTAGCCTAACCTCAAATAGCCCTGCCTGCTCCCCAGAGTCTTTCCCTATCACGGTACTTCTTTGATTTTCCTCATAGCACCGTTAACCTGGACTCACTTTGTGAACGCATTTATTTAGTTGCATAGTTGATTTCCATTTTACTCTCGATCCAGTGTATAATTTCCAGAAGAGCAGGAACATTAAAGATCTTGTTCACAGCTACCCCCACATAATAAGTGCTCACTGAACACAAACATGGTGTCCAATAAACATTTGTTGAGTGGATGAGTGGATCAAATTATCTTGTGACTCCTCCAACAGCTCACAACAAGGATGTATGAAATACCACTCACATTGGTCCCTCAGGCTTCTTTTATAATTGAAGACTCTCATTAATGCAACCACTCCCAGACCTGAGAATCCAGCTAATTATCACAGATTTAACCTGTGAAGTACAACTCAAAGCTGCCTAGAACCCACGCAATTGTGGCTCAGCCTTGTCTTATGGAAATACACCAAATACCCTGTCACACAAATTCCTAGCTCTGACATGAAAAAGTTGAATTAGGAAATAGCTAAGGAAGAGATATTTATGAAGGCTCAGCTTTCTGAGTGCAGAGAAGAAAATATCCCTGCGTATTTGTTACTGTCCGTGGTTATAGAGTTATTGGGAAGCAAACAGTAACAGTGCAGCGGTAATTCTGAGGAAATGGGCTGAGTGACTTATTGCCTGTTAGTTCAGAGTCTGCAAATCTGTTTTCCAAAGTGCAGCTGGGATAAAGCTACAGAATAACGTGCTGCTTTTTACCTGCTCCCAAGTCCTTTATTGGGTCCCAGGAGGGAAAGCTGAGCAGGAAGAGGAATAAGAGAAACTCACACACCATGTGGCAAGTTGGGTAGCTGCAAGATGGATATTTACTAGACTTCAATTTTCATCTCAAATTAGTGACGCATCTCCATTAATGAGGGCAGACCTCACCATGTTTGTGCATCACTATTTCTTTTTGAAAGAAAATAAAGTCAATTAAAGTCATTGCATTTCGGAAGGGAAGCGATTCACTCAGTGTTTTATTAGCAGCATGCTGGTGCTGTTTTCCTTTGTTACCAAGACAGCAATTAGCAGGCTTCTAATAGCAGAGAGGTGGGTGACAAGCAAAACAAGTTATTAGGAAGGTAGCTGCGTTCAGACCTCTAAACAGGGAAGGAGGCTTCTAGGATCTAAAAACGAAATAAAATCTCTTTTGTGTGCTGTTGGTCTCTTCACATGAGTTTGTAGACCTGCTTGTAGTCACCAGGTGGAAGAGTACTATTCTTGGTAGAATAACACTTTTTCCTGGTAGATCTCAAATATTAAAATAATATAAAGCAGCCGGGCTTGGTGGCTCAGCCTGTAATCCTGCGCCTTTGGGAGGCTGAGGTGAGTGGATTGCCTGAGCCTGCGGGTTCGAGACCCACCTGGGCAACGAGATCTCATCTCTACAATAAAATCACAAAATCAGCCAGGCGTGGTAGCGCATGCCTGTAATTCCGGCTACTTGGAAGGCTGAGGCGGAAGGGTCGCCAGAACCCAGCAGGTCGAGGCTGCGGTGGCCGGGAGCGGCCACTGCACTCCAGTCTGGGTGACAGAGTGAGACTCCAACTCAAAAAAATATATATATATAATATAAAGCAAACACTTTAGTCACTTCTGGAGAGTAAGGAGTAGTTTGAGAAGATTGAATTGCTATAAGGTTCTAGGTGGCAGTTTTTGTTGATTATGTTTTTATGTTGCATATTTTAATATGTATTATTTTTATTTTTGATGATTTATTATAGATTATTATACATATTTGTTTTTGTTACAAATGTAACATGTTTGGCTTCAGGAGAGAAAATAAATGCTTTGTTAGAAGTTGGTAACATAGCCGGGCTTGGTGGCTCAGCCTGTAATCCCCGTGCTTTTGGAGGCTGAGGTGAGAGGATTGCCTGAGTCCACGGGTTTGAGACCCACCTGGGCAACTTGGCGAGACCTCATCTCTACAATAAATCAAAAAATCAGTCGGGCATGGTAGCGCGCACCTGTAGTTCCAGCTACTTGGAAGGCTGAGGCGGAAGGATCTCCGGAACCCAGCAGGTCAAGGCTGTGGTGGTCGGGAGCTTACCACTGAACTCCAGTCTGGGTGGCAGAGTGAGACTCCAACTCAAAAGAATAAAAAAAAAAAAAAAAAGAAATCTAGGATAGAATTTTCACCTAATGGGGGTAAATTTAGGGTTAGATTTCAGGAGAAAAATGTAGAATTTGCAAGAACATTCCAATTTGAAACCCACTCCTAAAAACATTCCAATTTGAAACCCACTCCTAAAAAGAGACAGTGGTAGATTTCATGACACTGAACTGGTTGGAGATAGAACTGAGAGAAAGAAGGTGAAGATCCCATTTGTGAGGATAAGAGCCAAACGAGGTATGTTTAGAAAGACAGGGAAGAGCATGGTAAGAGCAATGAAAAAGCTTCAAGGAGTTGTCATCATTGGAAAATATGGTAAAGAAGTTCAAGGAAAATGAAAAATGGTGAATAGCTAGTTGAGTCTGACTCCCAGGAGGAAACTTTCTTGATTGAGTAGAGCATTAGGAAAGCAAATTGAGTAGGAACAAGGGATGATTTATGATCTAAATGGGAATAAACATCTTCCAAATGGATCTGAAATCTTCTCAGATCATACACACCTTTACTCTTGTCCTTATCTGGGTTTCTTCCCTCCCTTCCCAAAGTTCTTGCTTCAAAATTGTTGGAAAAGCATCTGGCTAGACTACTCTCCACTTTTCACTGATAGCGCCCTGCCCCTACCACACATTTATTTTATTTTATTTATTTATTTATTTTTTGAGTTGGAGTCTCACTCTGTCGCCCAGACTGGAGTGCAGTGGCCGCTCCCGGCCACCGCAGCCTTGACCTGCTGGCCTCCGGCGATCCTTCCGCCTCAGCCTTCCGAGTAGCTGGAATTACAGGCACGAGCTACCACGCCCGGCTGATTTTTTGATTTATTGTAGAGATGAGGTCTCGCCAAGTTGCCCAGGCGGGTCTCGAACCCGCGGGCTCAGGCAATCCACTCACCTCAGCCTCCCAAAGGCGCAGGATTACAGGCTGAGCCACTGAGCCCGGCTTCCTACCACAAATTTA